ACCGCGCCTGGCCTATCTCCTTTCTTGATTACTTCCTCCAAAGAAGAATAAATAGAAATAGGATCTAAAATGATCAGCCAGCATTGATTATGCAAGGCCTGAAAGCAGGCTAATATCAAAATGGTACTGAACCATTTTGATAATGCTACATTATCAAATGTACCATAAATAATGGTACATTATTTACATATTTAAATATGTAAAGCTAGTATGAATTGTTATTTTTAATATTTTGTTGGTTTATTTAACATACATTTTAAACAAAAGGGCTATAAAAACAAGTAAACAGATGAAAAAAAAAAGCTATAAAAAGTAAAAGCATCATAAACATACCTTTGCCTTCCAAGGCTCTTAGTTCAGGGAGATGATTACAGTTTAGTTCAGGCAAACGGACATCTGTCTTGGAGTATTCTCTTCTTTTCTTATTTGCCTGAAGGAGGCCCTTTTCACTAGAGACCTAGTATCATCAGAATGATTAACACAAATGAATTAGTTTCAAAGTTAGCTAGGCTTTCCCTCTTCTGTAATTCCTATGTTCATGTCCTAAAATTTGTAAAATTGAGGGTATAGAGAATAATAAAAAATTTAAAGGACATTAATAACACAGAAAACAATTTCACCCAATTATTTCAAACTGCTTCCTCATTAAATTTATTAAAATTACTAACAAGTAGATAACTCGATTGTTATGAATTTCTCCTTCTCTTTCTGTCAATCATCAGTGTACGTCTTGGCAAGGAGTAAAAGGTTAAAAAATGAGTATCAATGCCCTGGTCCTTCAGGCCAGCAAGGACAGGCCTTACAACACTTCCTAGGCTTTTAAGCAAATAGTTGCTCTTGTCTATGTTAATTTTAAACAGTTTATCTTCACATACATCATATCTTCTCCCAGCGTGTTTTTTAATTTTCCAATATAATTTTGTTACTTATTTTTTAATATTTGTCCTTTTCTTGCTCCTCAGAGTTAGCACATAATAATATCTTTCTAGGAATACAGTTTATTAAGTAAAGAATTATAACTTCAATTATTTTCCTAATCTTTTTTTTTTTTTTTTTTTTGAGACAGAGTCTCACTCTGTTGTCCTGGCTAGAGTGAGTGCCGTGGTATCATCCTAGCTTACAGCAACCTCAAACTCCTGGGCTCAAGCGATCCTACTGCCCCAGCCTCCCGAGTAGCTGGGACTACAGGCATGCGCCACCATGCCCGGCTAATTTTTTCTATATATTTTTAGTTG